CTTCGTGATCACGATTTTATTCAACCTTGGAGAAAAAGAATGAGATAAATAGATCCACGGACGAAGAACAAATATTCTAGGAATTCGACCGGTCAGTGTCGAGATGTTATCAGAAATAAATTGTAGGTATAAAGTTAAATACATGAAGATAGAGTGTTGTATAAATAATTATTATTCTTTGTATATGGTTAAAATTAAATTTAAATATGGCTACTATCCTACATACATTATCAATACATTAATTTCGCTTTTCAGACGCATACTTTTACAGAATTTAAACAACTTATATCAAAAATCGCAAATGGAAGTGTGAAAAATGAAAATATACAAAACAATTTGTAATTTTCTTTATAAAAAAACAATAAGAACTTTATTTCACAGATAAAAGTTACAATATTTCTGTAAGATATTCTAATTGCGCAAAAAAAGTACAATTTAATGCAATTTTGATCGATATTTATTGGGCACAAATTACCGTACTAATACATTCTATGCTCAATGTATTAATTAACCAACGCGTAATGAAATGCGGAAAAATTGCGAATAATAGCTAATAAATAAAAAAAACCTAGCAATATATATGTAACAATTATTTTTTAATACAAAAGCTCAACTATCCGATACTTGTGAAAAAAAACTGTTTCGTCTCTGAAAGATGTTTACATTCTTTAAGCTTCTTACAAGTTTCATTACAAGGTTAGAAAGAGACGGAGAGTTAGTTGAGAGGGACGGAGCATGCGCAGTGGGTCGCCACGTTGACAGCCATGCTTTGTTACTAGCACTTACCGTACATTGAACCTGTTGCTTACTTTAAATATCACATATCAAACAAAGCTTTATTTTGCGCTACAATTAACATGATGTTATCACTATTTATGATCGAATGTGCAATAAATAGTCGATACATGAAGTTACATTAATGAATAATCGTGAAAATATAGTGAATATGAAGGAAGCACATCACTATAATCGTTATCGGCTGTATAATAACGCGGGACGTGAACTCACTGCGATCAGTTTCTGTATAGACGTCGTGGAGCAAACTTTGCCGCATAGAGCTCGCCTCGGGGCAGCGACTTTGTTTTTTCCTTTTTATTTTGGCTTGTAGCCGTTGTATGGGTGAGTTATGTTTTAAAACTTGTTTTATTAATTAATTTTAACCAAACGGAGCTCGGTTTCACGTTAATAAATATCTAGTTGTCATAGTAACTGAAATTGTGCGCGTGTATTTCCGTATTGACTGCCGAATATCTCTTAAATATAAACAAAGCCCCGTGCCGTGCTTGTATTCTAGGGTGTGAATGGACATTTCAATTGTTGTTTTATTTATAGTTTCACGTAAATGTTAGGTATTTTTGTGTTGTGAGAATGAATGACGTTGAACTATGTTACGAATTGTCATACGTGGATCGCGAGTTTAAATACGATAAGGTAAAAAATTTGCAGTTTTATTTAGAACCACGTAATTATTATCGTAAAAAACTGTATTCAATATAGTTTTCAGAAACATTTAATGCTACCAATTCTGGTGATTAATAAATTTTATCAACATATGTGACAAAAAGACAGATGTAGTAACAGTAACGTCTAAGATCCATTCTATAAAATATATTAATGTTTTTATGACTTTCTTTAAGAGTTGATTAAGATTATTAGGTAAATATTAAATATATTTTTTTCTAACGTAACGCATATCGTTGCACAGTTTTGCGTAAATGATAAGTTTCTAAGAATTATCTCAAGATACAATATCCGTATCACAATTTTAGCACGTGAAAAGGAAAAAAACTTATAATTACATATATATGTATTATTTTAAAATGTAATGTTTTTATCTATATGATTAAAAAATGAATGCGATATCAATTAATTAAATTGTAAGATATAAACGTCCTTGCAAGTTTTTTGGTGAGTGCGTTACAAAACAAGTGAAGGCTTTCGTGAAATAGAAAGTAAGTACAATGTTAAGTATGTAGGTTGAATGTTACAAATGTTATTGAGGAAGGTTTGAATAACTTTGGACCTCAAAATCATATTAAAAATATTTATACATATAGATGCATAATGTATCAATAATCGAATATATTAGGAATAAATAAATTAAACATAAAAAAATATTTTCTAATACATCTATTAAATTATTAATATTTATGTGTTTAAAATTAATATCATAAAGATTTATATAACGAAATATGTTTAAATTTATCTTATCTTTTATCTTCATATGACGTTTTAATCTTCACGTGTCACGTATGTCACACCAATGAGTTCGTGAAGTTCGTGAAGTTCGTGAAAACAAAGGATCGTGATGTATCCTTGGTCGTTGTCCTAATTCTTGATGAGTAAGTTCGTGAATCAGAATTCCGACTAAAGTAATAGCGTCAGAAACAGTTAAAGAACGAGGTCTTTGAGCTTCAAACACCAATAAAATAAATACATACATTATTAAATTAAAATATTTTACAGTAATTAAATTTTATCGTAAAAAATTCTGTGTTTCAGTTAATTGGTTATGTGGATAATAATAGTTTATTGGTTTATTTATATTTTATATTTTGAGTGACCACGGCATGCTTTTAAGCAGAGTGCTTGTGGTAGGACACCATGCTCTTCCATTAATATAACAATATGTTTGAAAAATGATACTTATGTCTATGTATTTAAAAGACAGTCGTGTTAGTTACACTAATTATAACTCAAGAACGACTGTACGGGTAATGCTGAAAATTGGTGGAGAAATATGTAGCTTAGAACTAGGAAAAGGACATAGTATAATTTTCATGCGATCGAAAATAAAATTGATAAAATTCAATATCACCTCATTGACTGTCTTTGAGGAGGAATAGAGTTCGCGCAGACAGCTATAGATTTCTAATTCTGAAAGTAACGCAAACGAAGTCGCAGGTTAAAGCTAGTATATACATATAATGTTCCACAATAATGAAGGTTAATATAACGAAGAACGCGTAAAATCATGAGAATTTGTCTTCCTGGAAGCTTTGCCGCGTTTTATAAAATAACTCATGAGTCATGACTACCAAAGTTAGTAATGCCGGGGAATCTTTAGTTAGGTGGAAATAAAAAACAATATAATTCTGTACAGTACTCGGAATTTCCATACATTTACTAAAGATGGTACAGAGTTCAAATAGCTTTGCAATTCGATCTTCATCCTTACCACAAGTCACAGTCACTCTATACGCCGCGTTTACCGTTTTTCTGTCAAAGATATCTTACATTTGATATTGAAAAATTATGAATGAAAAAACGAGATTGCCTTCGTAAAACATGTTGTAAGGTCACGGAAGTTTGAATGTGTGTTTGTATGTCATACAATAGGTTATGAAACACATTCACAATTAGCTGAGTGTCTTAAATAATCTTATATATAAAATTCTCGTGTCGCGATGTTAGACAGAGAACTCCTCCGAAACGGCTAGACCGATTTTGATGAAATTTTGTGAGCACATTGAGTAGCTCTGAGAATCGGTCAACATCTATTTTTCACAGCCCCAAGTCATAAGGGTCATTGTTCACCCTTAACTTTTTTATTTTAATTTTTTTATAATACATACAACCCAAAATTTTTTTTTTTATATGGCAATACAAAGTGCCGGGTCAGCTGGTAATTATATAATATAATTCGTTTTTTATTTTATCTGTAGTAAATATTTATGGTCGTAAATCTTGTTAGTTTTTTATGTTACGACCTCTTTTCATTATCATTGTCTATGATAAATTGGTGTAAACAGTGTTATTTTTAATTAATTAGGTTATCCGGATGAAAAATCGTTTGATAAAATTAAAATGTTTGCAAATAAATATATTATGTAATAAATATAGTATATACGAATTAAAAGAAATCTATTTTTATTTATAGATTACATGCAAAAACATAAAGTATTTGATTTCGAAACGCCTACGCAACATTTTTTTTTTTTTTTTTGTGCGCACTGGGAAAAAATGCTTTACGCATCCCCTCTCCGTTGAGGACGGAGAGGGGTATGTGGGACTCCCCGGGAAAAGGATTCCCGGTATACCCACTAAAACAACCCAGTGGCGCTCCGACCTCGCCTGACTGGCAGGGGGCTGGGAATCCTGTTTGCGTCCAGCCCCACGCAACATGGTCTAACCTTTCCCAAATGACGTTTGAAGTTACGTTTACCACGTGACCCGCGTACAAATATACAGCATGATGTAAAATATTAAATATGGATATACTTATAAAGTTTTTAATTGAATAAATGAATATGTTGTTATGTATATGTTAAATTTTTTTAATTATATGAAAAATAAATTCCTTTAATTAATAATATTTAAATTTTTTATTGTCGGTATTTTTAAGAGGTTCGACTCTTTCGTAAAAAATAAATTATTATTATTAGTATTATATTAAAATCAGTAATCTTTCAAATTATGTATTAGTTACACTGATTTCTTATAGCAATTAAGAGTACTATCAATGTATTTAATAAAAAGGTTAATCTAGCTATAGTGTTGCCATTTACATTTTACAATATTAAAATTCCATGTAGGAGGGACACACGCGGAATGAGTTTGTTATTTGAATAGAAGGAGAAAGTTTTGTATGGTTTATGAGGGATTGAACATATAAGTTCAGCTTTTAGTTTAAAATTACATACATAGAGTATATGAAGAGATAAATTAAATCAAAAAATAAAATTATTGTTATTCTAAAATCTTTATGATAAATTTATAATTCGTTTTGAGACGCGACTTCATTTATCTGGGCTTCGGTATTGGAATAAGATATAAATGTTTAGAAAATATCAAAAAACAGGTATGATAACGTGACTTCAAACAAAAAACCACGTTTAATTTCTCGATCCTGAATCAACTACGTGGACAGTGGAAATCTAAAATAAATAAATCTCATCCTAAGTTATATCAAAGTAATGCGTTAAATATCAACAAAAATCCTTACATTCTCGCAAATTTTCGCATATATAAAAAAAAGTAGGGGTAATATTTACATTCCATTAAGTCATTTCGTTTATTTCAGAGCGTGAAACAGTATTGCTACTAGTGTCCGGGAACTGTGAGACGCTCTCGAAGGGCGTTTCCGAGTTTCGTTTCAAGGATGTGTTCCTGTCGAGTGTGTGCGAGGAGCCGGCCTCCCCGCCGGTGGGCCGCTGGGGCGCCGAGTGGCCGAGTTGACTCGCCTCGGAGGAGCTCGAGACCCAACACGTGACCCCCCCCCTGCCCCGCCCCAGGTGGGCGCACCCGCAACCCCCCGTACACTTGACGAGCGATACCCACGAGGAACTGGTCACTAAGGCCGAAGCAATCCTCAGAAGCCTGCTGGTCGCGAACAACTATGACTCTGTCAGCAACTTCCTGGCCATGCACGATACGTATGTCAAGACCAGCTCAAAGAGGACTTTATACGACATGTTCTTAGAATACTCGCCGCAGGTCATACGCGGACGCTTCACATGTGTGGGCTTGGGCTTCGAGTTAATACAGAAGTGGAGAGCGCTGGATAAGGAATTCCCGGGGTTCGCGGACTCGATTGGAGTGTTCTCGTGCGAGGAGGCCGTGGTGGATGTGTTGGATTACGTGGGGTCGGGCGACACCCCGGAGTCTGTACTGCAGGCGGAGAAGGAACACGTGATGGTCGGCGCTCACGTGTTCATAGACGGACGGCCTGGAGTCATACTGGCTGACCCGGGGTACCACGTGGCCAGGATAGTCACCGTCATGAGTGACCGCGCCTACCCACATACTGGTACGATCCTAACAGCTTAATAGTGACTTACAATATTATGGTTCTAAGAATCATAATCATCATTTAACCCTTCCCAGGCTGGTTCATACAATCCGAGGAGCCGTGCCTCAAAGAGTACGAGTACAGTTACAGTCCTCACAACACGAACTACGTGGAGTGGCACGAGCGAGTGACGCGGGGCGACGAGGTCAAGCTACAGACGTCCTTAGTGTTCGTGGCGCAACCCTTCCTTGATAGCATCGACGTCACCGAAAAACGGAACCTCGTTTATAACTTCAGGTAATGACCACAGTTTTATATTCGCAAGTTTCTGACACTATCTAAATTATTATAAAAATACATACAGCTTTTCATCAGCGCCTAACGACTGTAAATTACTTTTATACATTCATAGGTTTTCTGTCCAACTCCGACAAATAATTTGCCTCTATTTCCAAAATGTTCCAACTGTATTATTTACTCGGCCCGTGTGTTCGTATGTTTTCGTCATCTCCCCTCTCTCTCCAACATCGGTCCGTCTCTCTCTCGCCAGGAGCCTCCTGTCTCGTAACTCCAAGGGCGAGCTGACTGCGGGCGTGTACTTCCCGGTGGGCGCGCGCTTCAAGGACGCCACCTTCACACTGTTCCTAGCTGACGGCGGACAAAAACGAAGAACTAAGTACAAGTTCAGCGCATTCACGGAACCCTATAACGTTAGTTAACATACATACATACACACAACAAACATACCTTTCATATCATTTAATATTTAAGTAGTATTATATATTTTACCTTGAAAATATTTTTAAAACGTTTAGTATCTCGGTGTCAATGAGCTGATCACGATATAACAAAGACGTCATAAAGTCATTTCCTTGATAAAAGTTTTATTAGTGATGTTATCATGAAACAATCTATTGATTATTATAAATTAAAATTAATTACATTTCAATCTGATATTAATCAATTTCCTCTATATTTTTGATTGTTAAATTCAAGTATATTTTTTATTTACATTTAAAATTCTATGACATAAATAATTGCATGAGTATATATGTAACAACTACATTTGACAGCTGATTTGACATTTAATAGCCAAATTGTCCATTCAGTATGAACCTAATTTGAATGACATATCCACGGCCATGGCCACATAAACTCAACCGCGGCCATTATATCCCCGAAGCTCTCTTATTATTCATAAAACAGCCAATTTCCCTTTGAAATCACTGTAATTTAAGTCTGAATTTATAAACACCTAAACATTGGTTTCGTTACAGTAATTCTAACGTAATAGTTTTAACCATTTCACATAACTTTTATGTATTAATTTTAAATGAATTTTTATTCACAGATAACACAATCTATGTTAGAAGATATAGAAAAATGCAGCGTCAGAATGAGATACAAGAAAAGAGAATTGCTCAAAATTATCATCAAAATAGCGAGGGTTTTGTCTGACCAATCCTTCATAGACCAAGTTTTGGAAATAAACGACGAAATATGCAGAATGTCTTTATGAAAACGGCGATAACTTGGCCTTTATATACTTTATTTAATTTCTGATATTTTAAATTTATATTTTGGGAATTGGGTACTTGAATTTATATCATTTATATTATGTTACAGATATTTTTTATATCTTGTACATTTTATGTAAAGATTATTAAAAATTTGTTTAATATACACGATTTTTTTATTTCTTCATAACACATAAATAAAACTTCATTTAATTTCACTAATTTATTTAGGTCACACGTCTTATAATCAGCTTATTCTAACATCAACATTTAATTAAAAATAATCGAATACACTAGTCGGAGCGCCGGTAATGGCAACACTAACACAATAATCTACATACGATACAATTTAAAATGAAAACTATTTTATAGAAAATAATAATTTATTTGAGGAATGGGCGATTTTTTCCAGCACCCTTAGTTTGTGCCTCGTTATGGATATTCATATATTTAATATAAAACTAATTAGATCTTATTATTAATGAAACAACATACATAATAGAAACTTGTGAAGTATATATTCAGTGTCTATAAGCTTGTACTTAATGAATCTCAGTAGTTTATTTATCTGAGACTTATGTAATAATTAACTTAAACTAATGAGATAAGGTCATATATCTAGAGTACATCGGTGTCTAAATCAGACGATCATAACACTATCTTTTAACACGTCGGTAAATAATGTCAGCTGCAATTTCTAGAGACAAGTCTAGATAACATAAGAAATTTGGACATTAATAAGTTTTTGATACTCATTCAATATCATTAATATATGGGACTGTAAGTAGTTTAAATAACAAACTAAATGTATTAAATCTTTCAAGTTATAATCGAGGGCTAGTAAATTTCGAGAGAAATCAAATAATACGTAATAATAAAATAATCCAATCATTGTTACAGAGTATAGACAATATATATGTACGTTCCATATTATACCACGGTCTTGTTTATATCTAGTTTTCTTGTTCGTGCCTGTGTCTATGGTGCTTGTGTCTGCGCGGGTGGGAGCCGCTGTAAACCTCGCGGACGTTCGAACTGAAAATTTAATAATATTATTAGTTATATATATAAAGATTCTAATGTCACAGTGAATTGGCGGGAACATGTCAGTTTTGACAGTGACGTTTATAGATTGATGCCAGAGTTAAAACTATTAAGAGTATCAAAGTATACTTATAATGGAAATTTAGATAACATTTTATCCAGATATATGATTAAACAACCGAATTTGAAATTTTAAAGTTATAAAAAAACATCTTTTGATGACTTTACTTGTTACTTGACGAAATTCAGCAAGTTCTTTTGCAGGACGACATTTTGAAATGTTCGCGAATTCATTGTGACATTTTTATGTTAATATGAGATATTTACACTGTTTTTGAAAAATAAAAAAAAACATGAAAGACACAAATATAACTGATGTACATAGATGAAGATAAAGATTTAGTAACTGTGAACGTAGAATGAGGTGTTAAAAACAGTTTTGATGACTATTTTTTCATACTATTTTGCTGTAGGAAAGTAAAGTAGAACAAGGATAGTAAGGTCATTCCACATGTATATGATTGAAATATCAAAACCAGTCAAGATATCAAGTGCATTCTCTCCAGAGTATAGTATATACATTAGTCATGCTGCACAGAAGTCTAAATATTCAATACTATATATATTATAAGTTATATTTTACATAATATTACGAAACGTTAGTGGTATCTCCTCCTCCAATATCTGGAACTGAAAATTAATTCAGTTATAATTTTTGTTTCTCTATCGTTTATTAAACTCAGATCAAATAACAAAGTATAGATAAAAAAAATTGTTGACACACAAAAATGCATAAATAAATGTATTTCTAATATATTTTAAATATTTACTAAGCATGCATACTAGTTCCATAAAAATATCCCCTAGCTTACTACATATTATACTACTGACAAAAAAATTATGTATATACATATATAAATACAACAGTAACTGTAACATTGGCTTGCTCATATATAGAAAATGCTACTGCAGGAAGCTAAGCTTTACATACTACTAGAGAATCTAAAAATTATGTAACAAAAAAATATTTCAATTAAGAAAAAAGGCAACAAAGTCATAAGCCTTATAATTAATTATATATAATCATGTAACATTACTATTTAATTTGATTTAATTTTCTCATTGCAAATAACTGGTTTTCATATATTTTTTAATGACATTATGTCTATTCTTTGAATTCGATCTGAGCTTCTAAAACAGTCAAATATATTTAAACCATGGTTAAAAATTAATTAAATAAAAGTTAATTCAGTTTGTATCATATTATTTAGAGAGTTAGTCATCCATAGACAGTAAATATGAGGTTTCTTAATGTATTTGAACAAAAATAAAACAAATATTTTGGGATTTATGTAAATGCCAGTGTGTAGATGATGTTTCGTACCCGCTACCCGTTTGAATGCTAATGATACAAAGCCGTGTACTCACGAGGGCAGAGCGAGCGGACTGGCGCCGGCGCGGAGAGGGCGGCGCGCGTGCGGTCGCCGGCTGCAACGCGCACACACTGAACTAACTACTCAAGCACTACCGGCCAGATGTTCCAAATTCAAATTTAATTTCTTTTTTTTTCAATAAAAGTTCCATCCGGCCAATTCGTTGCAAAAGAAATTGTATATCAAGCTCAACTAATACGAACATGCTATATATTTTTGTGGAAAAAAAATCGTAAGCGATATATACATATACTCTAATCTAATAATATGTATAATAACAAAAATATGTGTTCTATAATAACTTCATGCTTTGTATAATATTCTAAGTACATTATGTCTTTGGAATATCCAATGTTGTAATATTTATTGTACAGTCTGTGTGTGTGTATGTGTGTGTACTTACTTAGCGTGTGGATGTGTGTGTGAGGGTGCGGGGGGCAGCGCCAGGCGGGGCGGGGGGTGTCCGTGAGGAACCTGGGTCAAAGCTCGGTGGTTCCTGTTACGCATCATACCAGCTCGCTCCTGGAACTCTCTGTAATACAAAATTAAAAGTTATATATTTATGACATTACATTGCAAATCTGGTATTTCGACGGTTAAATAAATCTAAATACCCTGTAATCTGACATATTTTCTATTATTAATTAATACAAGATGTCTGCTGTTTTTGCATATAAAACCGCTTTCGAGATATGCATTATCATTTTAAGATTGAATTAGATACCTCGAAATTACCTTTATCACTACCTGACTTGGCAACAAAGCTGTACCTCAAGTGAATGCCCATTTGGTCACTCAATTTGGCCATCATTTTGAAAATCGGCCCTTAACTAACGATGTAATAGCTTAGCAAATACAGATCTGTCCAAAAGTATGCTGATGTTAATCCCTATGTCATTACCTACCCACAAGTGAAATTCTAGTCAAAATCGGTCCAGCCGTAATATAAATTAAGTCGAATAAACAATCCGACAAAATTTTAATAATCGTGTCCTATCGTGCTGACTACGTAAATATTATTTCGATTCTAATAGCACAGTTTGTTTTGAAGTTATTATTTTTGTGAATTTAGCACCATGACGTTAATTTTAGGAATAAATGTAAGCTATGTATCATTGTTTGATTTGATAATTTAACATACATAGAATAACACACTATTCATCCTTATCATTTTGTATGTAACTTATCCCATAAGTTACTTCTTTGTAAAGCAAATATAAAATATAGTTGCATCGGGCAGTAGCCTAAAACTGACAAGTAATACAATCCCATACTGTTCTTCATATTCTCGGATAACTTGAGGATTGGACTTACTTAGTAGTTAAAACTTCTATAACATGCAAATAGATTTAAGAACAAAAAAATTATCAATATGTATCAAATCATGATAGTTTTTGCTAAGCAACTATAATGCCAACTAAGCAGATTCAAATCTCTCTCATATCCATTAATATATCATTCTATGTCTAAATTTTTTATACTTGTAACACTGAGTGTTATTTTATTATTTATACTCTGTGGTATATGTTATCTGTGACCTGTCAAACTCCTCAGCCTCTTCCTCCTCGAGGTTAATGAACTCCTGCCTCTCCTCAGCGTCTCCAGAGTACACATTCTGTTCCCTCTCTACAACGTGAGCCCGCTGACCGATGTGATGACCTGGAAAATATAACAAAGGTATGGATTAACACCTGGAAATTATTTGATTAATCTTATAGATAATTGAGAAAGAATAGAGTAGATATTATATATATATACAGGGTGACTGGTGAATTACTATCAATATTTAAGGAGAATACTCGGTACATGATTCTCATTCGAATTATGTGAAAAAAATACGTACTTAATTTTTGACCAAATTTCCGTATAAATAAATAAAGTGCGGACACGTTCCAAGTGTTCCAAGTGTGGACGCGTACGGTGGCGTGCTGATACAACACCACGCCTTCGCACGCGTATGTGTGAGTGTGTGTGTATACCTAATCTGTAGGGTGTTCACACGATGCGTAATTAATTACATAACTTTTGGTTAACTTTACTTAGAAGTTTATTAATATTTATGTTATATTAATTTTTATTTTGTCATATATGATCGTCAAATATCACGTCCTCAAATATCGATAGTAATTCACCAGTCACCCTGTATACTAGCTTTCCGCCCGCAGCCTCGCCCGCGTGGAGTTCGGTTATATCGCGTTTCCAAGAGAACCTTTCAAAAGTCTGGGATAAAAACTACCCTATGTTTTTTCTCAAGGTCAACTCTATCTGTACCAAATCTCATTAAAATCAGTTCAGTGGTTTAGGCGTGAAAGCGTAACAGACAGAGTTACTTTCGCATTTATAATATTAGTAGGGATTTATTTTTATTTTCAATTGCTTTTAAACTACATTTGAGTGAATAATTGTACACATAGTTATATTTACAGTATCTTTTGGACTTTAATTTTAATTCGTCGTGTATAAGTCAAATAACACTATGAATAGGCCGAGGTCAGACTGGAAAGGCGACTTGTATTATGTAAGGCCATAGTTGTGAGTTTGGTCATAATAAAAGTAATGTTATCAAATATCCTATTAGATATATCTTCGGATGTATCTTAAGATTAATTCTACATCTATCTGTGAGTGCAAATTGAATAGTATACACTATACTGTTTGTGTCACAGGAGACGTCAATGCTTGTATTGCGAGTTTTTTTTTGTTATTATTTTTCTCTCTATTTAAATGATTACACAATAATGTAAAATTTCTCTGAATCAATAACTTTGATATTCTCATCATTAGTATTAACATTTAGTTGATAAAATGCTAATGTACATATGTTCTTCTTCTACCTGGCAATTTCCCAGATTTAGCCAGGGTCTGCCTTACATGTTGTGAATAGTTTTGGCTAATAGTTTTTACGACCGGCCATCGGCCTGACATCAACCCTATTTGGGCATGCATTAATCAGTTATGTCTAAATACTCTTAGAAGGTACATATGACTCGGAAAAATCATATTGATACTTGCCAGGATCGAACCCGCGCCCTCATGCATGAGAGATGGGCCTTTTAACCACTAGGCCACCACTGACTTATGTTATACGGAAGTTTTTGTCATTATTTTCAGTATTTATATTCAAGATACATTTTTGTTTAGGGCAGCATAGGGTATCTTAGACATTATTTTTATTGAAGTAAACTTTTACTAAAGAATCCTTATCACAACAATTTCAAAAGTTTAATGTAGCTGAATGAATGGAAAAAAGTTAAAAGTCAATGTTTCGAGCATGGTTTCTGTGAGTGGAAGTTTTTTATAATTGTTTGTTTAGCGAGCACGTTGTTTATACACGTGTTTACAATGATGACGTCATATCCTAAATAGTACATCCGCCTTAATTTGATCACAACTTAAAATTTTCACTAAATTCGGTTATAGAATAAAATAATTAAATTTCATATAGATATATGTATGTGTAAATATGGACGAGATACAGCCAATGTTTGTTTTTAATTGATTAAAATGATTGAATACAATCGACATAAAAAATTTAGAGAAACTACTTATTCAATAAAACTAAGTAACATGACACCAATAAAATAAGTAAATAAGTAATTTTCATCACAAATATATTAGATATGGACACTAGAGAAAAAAATTGTACCAATAAGACTATAAATTGTGAATTATTGGTCATATGATATACATATTTAATTATATCTTTCTAAAATTCATAATTCCTTCACAGGTTTTGATGAAATCTTGATCACAAATAGATTATGATAATGAAAAATTTTAAATTAATATATTAATGAGTATACAGGGTGACTGGTGAATTACTATCAATATTTAAGGAGAATACTTGGTACATGATTCTCATTCGAATTATGTAAAAAAAATAGGTACTTAATTTTTGACCAAATTTCCGTATAAATAAATAAAGTGTGTACACGTTCCAAGTGTTCCGAGTGTGGACGCGCGTATGTGTGAGTGTGTGTGTATACCTAATCTGTAGGGTGTTCATACGATGCGTAATTAATTACATAACTTTTGGTTAACTTTACTTAGAAGTTTATTAATATTTATGTCATATTAATTTTTATTATGTCATATATGATCGTCAAATATCACGTCCTCAAATATCGATAGTAATTCACCAGTCACCCTGTATAATTATGTTTACCGATGGACATTTTCTTGACACCGGTGCGTGAGTCCTGGAGTGTCTTCCGAGTCTCCTTCACTCCGTTGGGTCCTATTTTAGTGCTGCTTGTTGAACTGAACACCTAAAAGATACAAAATTATGATAAGACACGTGTATAATATTACTTATACTATGAAGATATCTAGAAGGAGAAAAGTAACATATATATGAATATATTTAGTTATAAATACATTATAAATATAAAATTGTGTATTATTGATAACATGTTAAACTCCCTACTCCTATTATAAATGCGAAAGTAACTCTGTCTCTTACGCTTTCACGCCTAAACCACTGAACTGATTTGAATGAAATTTGGTACAGAGATAGAATCGACCTTGAGAAAGAACATAGGATAGTTTTTATCCCAGACTTTTGAAAGGTTCTCTTGGAAACGCTATATAATCGAACTCCAGGCGGGCGAAGCTGCGGGCGGAAAGCTAGCAATATATAAAAATAACATTTGGTTCCAAAATGCCATCACATGTCAGTGACGCTTTATACTAATAAAACCTTATTAATTTATTTAAGCAAATGTTAAATGATCTGGCAAAAAATAAATGTATAAAGACAAATAATTATATTATGTACATATATAGTTGTAGTTACATTTATATTTATCACAGTAAATTAACAAAAACTTGGGAGTAACAACAAGTTGATCTTGTTAATGTTCTAAGGAAAAGGGTCTTCTTCGAATATAAATATGATCAAAATAAAATAATTGCACAAAAGATACTTTATAATCTCATTATAGTATGAATTATAACATAGGTATGTTATAACAGATCAGATATTTTGCTACTAATCTTTTCCATCTTTTTAAGCTTAATGAATTACTATTAAAATTATTTCAGGTTTATTAACGCTCTCATGTTAGATGTGATTTAGCTTTATTCAGTTTAGAGACTAATTTAATTTGGTTGATGACCAATTTATAAGAAATTTGAAGATGCAAACAATTTTCTGCATCAGTATTCAAATTTCAGTATGTGTAGTTTTTGAGTATTGTTTACACTTTACATTATACATATTGTTAATAGATAAATAAGCATTTTCTTAATTATTTACGGGTTATGTATTCCAGAGATGTTATCATATATTTAAGGCTCATGTAACATGTGACAAAAAACTCCAGAACCCAACACCTTCGATATATACATATGTATATCTTTGGAAACAGTTGATATAATTTCTTAACATTACCTACAAAAAATTATATATCACAGTAGTAGTTAGATTACGATTTCTCCATGTATATATGGATTTTGTTCAAGTTCTACATCATTCGTGTCAAAATTATCATGATTATAGAATTAAAGCAACCAGTTTAGAAATAAGAACTGTTTTATATTGAAAAAATCAATTGTGGTACAGTGAATATAATGTAGTAACATAATTTCCATTGTACCAATACTTAAGTTCTAAGTTCCTAAGACACTTTCATTAGGGTATAAGATTACATTTTTATATGTATTTTAAAAAACATTTTATGAAGTTTTTTTTAGCAGAGCATGTGCTTCTAAGCAATTCTAATTTTAATAGCATGTAGGTCCTAATTATATCTCATTTTTTTATTGTAATTCAAGCCGTTACTACTGTGAGATATAATATTCATATTTCTCATCATATTGATTATATTCACAAGTTTTCATAAGTCATATAAATTATTAACAAATCTATTATGATTAATTTTAAATATGATTTTGGTGTTTACCTGAGGGCTGCCGTTCAGTCCACTGGACATGACTACCGTGCTGCTAGAAAAGGAACTGCCGCTCGACATGTGGCCGTCAGACAAATCTGCTGATAATAATTACACATATAATAACTCATACATATATACCTCTTTATGTTATTTTAAATAGTGGATGTATATACAAAGGTGATAGTGAATTATCAGGAGCTGTTGTGGTTAAAAACTATTTCAGTATTGATAAACATTTACTGTGACCTTTTTAGAATGGTTTTTAAGAGAACAAATGCAATTTAATATGAGGCAATAAAATTTATTTTCTTTTTAGGAAATACGAAATATCTATTTGAATATTATCATGGAAAATTTTATATTTTTTTGAATTAAATCTACTATTACCTGTGAATAGTCTGTTTAGCGAAGGCATCTGTGGCATGAAAGGCATTAACGCGTTCCCGCGGCGAGCTCCCATGATAGCCAGCGGACCTTCGCCCAGCATCCCGAAAGGGTCCGAAAATAACGAGTTCATCATATTGTTCATCTGACGCATGTGGCGCATGTGGGAACTGCGAGTAAATCACATATACACCTCCTTTTACTAGACAGTAGACTTTCAAATTATACATTACGATCGTAGAATTCATCTTCTTTTAATTTCCTATACTTAGATCTAGCTCCATTTAACGTAGATTATTAGCAAGATAGAAGTTTCTTATTAAATTGTTGTTATTGATCGGGACTGGGATTTTTCTCGAAATACCTGTCATTTTGAAATTGTATCTTGACCATGTTCAACCGTTATTACTGTATTGCGGTTACAAAACTTCGTTAGATGTGTAAAAAAAATTAAGACAGTAATTAAGATACGTAGAAATGGTCATAAAACATAAATAAATTGTTATATATTGATAAATTTACCCAAAAAACGGATCATCCTCCACGTCGGCCATCAACGATCCAAATAGAGACATTGTTTTTAAGGTGGTTCCTAATTATTTATAAGAGATTTTGGCCACAAATACAACAGGAAGATATAGTTACTACGACCTAGAGTACGAATAAGAGGGAATTCACTCCTAAGACAATTTATGAACAAGAAATCGAAATCTCTAGCGAAAAGTCGACTAAACCCACATCACATTCGCGAATATTGGAAACTTTGTAAGAAATACAGACTATATTATAAGCCAGATGTTATTCGTGCCACAGACTATGTATCATATATATCTGAACTTTTATAATCACTATGGGAGAATATCAAATGTAACTTTATTATATGGTAAATTCATATTTTTAAATAAATAGTAAATCATTGTAGTTAACGTTTTTTTAATCAAGTTATTTCATATTACAAACATTACAACGTAGACGCGTTCACCATAATTTACAACACTTCACACATGACTTTAGATAGAAAGACAAACAAAATTGCTGTATTCTTTAGAACCTATAACGGTTACGATAGGCTGCAGTATATCTAGGGACGCCGTCGCCATGAAAAGACCAAGCGGCTGATGTTGGATACGCCGTGAACACTTGATCTTGTAAACCATTACGGGTCTTTTTGATAACTTGAGGATCCTGGAAACGAATTAAATATTAGTTTATTAAATTTTTCTTGTGTATTTATATTACTTTGAATAACTATATAACCTTTTCTACTAAATCTCCGTTTGGTTTATTTGCACCTGGCACATCGCCTAACTGTCCCATCACTTGTTCAACTTTAGCAGTCCTCTGATCTTGAAATTGATTATTGGCTATTGTGTCTCCGCCTATTTTTTCAACAGGCACCTGTTGGGCTGTCGGTGCATTTGTACGAGGGACATTTATTTTGCCGTCAGAGTAAGAGGCTCCGTTATCAGGAACTTTTCCATTATTCTGAGTGTATGACTGAGATCCCTTATATTGGTTGTATATATGTTGTAATTGATTCCTACTTGTACTTCGACCTAACGTTTTACCGCCTACTAATGATGTTCTGCTGACTGTGGACTTGACATTGGCGTATCTGCCGGCATTCATCTTCGCGGAAGGTTGTGGTGATAAAGTTTGTGGCAGAGCTGGTTCGGGAGTGTGATACATTTGAGCTGGTAACATTTGTACTGGTTGTCCGAGGGTATTATAAGCAGTTTGCTCATATCGTTGTTTTCTAGGTACGTAATATTTAGAAGTGTCTGCGGGGAAGATGGGCTCTTTTATAAATTGTTGTGTATTCGGAACTTCGGACACCGCAGTTGTATCGGCAGGTTGAGCTTGAGCGTTTTGCTGATCACCACCTTCGTATATTGTACCAGGAGGTGGAGCTGCTCCGTTGCCCGAGTTAGGATTCACAATTTGTTGCTGTCCATTATATTCTTGCTGTTGTGGATTTTGTATTTGTTGTTGTGGTACTTGTTGAGTGACTGCAGTATAAACTTGTTGATTCGTTTCAGCGGGAACCCTGGAGCCTTGATTTTCAGTAGCTGGAACATTATTCTGATCAGGATTAACATTTTGACCCTGAGGAACGGGCACATTTGTTTGGGTTGGAGGCAAATTATTATTAAGAGCTTGTCCCATGCCGGGCCGTTCTGGAGTTATATTAGGTATTCTGTTACGCATATTGTTCAAACCGCCCCTATTGCCGGTCATCATCTTTTGCATGGTGTCCATGGCGCTTTGATGTTGGTTCGCTGGGTTCATTTGTATGGCCATTGCCATGGGATCGAAATTTAAGTCTCCACCGATTCCCTTCATAACACCAGGGAACATTTCATTGAATTTAGCGATACCAGGTGCATGCCTGCCGTAATTATGCTGAGGAGCTGCAGCCATTTGCTGCGCCGCAGGATTAGCGTTCGTATTTGGCATGTTTTGATAGCCTTGCATATTCTGAGGATTGTTGGTAGCGTTTGTCATATTTGCAACTGGCATATTGTTATATTGATTTGGGTTTTGATAGCCAACGTTTTGAACTACATTATTGTTATTATAAATTCCATTATTATTTCCCATGGGAGCTGATAGTGGGGTCACACCAACCACTCCATGAGGGGATTGGGGTGCGTCTATTAACATTGGTTCTTTTAAATTTCCTACTTGACTAGGCATGGTATTGGGTTTGGACGCCTGGTTGCTTCCAATCATGCCCATAATTTGTGGCCCCATGCCACCCATCGCTCCCATCTGCCCCATTCCTTTCCCTTGCATTTCATTAGCGGGTACATCGCCCATGTTATTCTGCATACTATTCATGTTATTGTAATTATTTGGGAGAGTTGAGGCATTTTGAGCAGCGTAGGCATCTTGAGATAACATTTGATTGCCCATAGGATTATTCATGATGGTATTATTTGGCGTTATGGTGCTTAAGTCATTGTATACCTCTTTTATTGTGGGTTGCATGAGATTTTCTGTCAGATAGTTGTATGTATCAGAATATAGTTTGGTGGGATTGCAATGTCCCATGCAAGGGCGTTGCATGTTTTGCTGACCGTTCATTGCATAGGGTTCAGTGCATGGCCTACCAGAGTTCCACATGTTGCCACCGTGACCGTGACAACAACCACGTCTGCAACCACCACATGTCGGAAGAGGATTTCCCATGGGGGTATACCCGTTTTGTCCTGGATCGTTGAATAATTTCCCCATACAACCGCTAGAAAATTTGAATTAACCATTTACTCTCATACAATTTCACGCTATTTACGAAATCAATATTTATTTAAATTACATAATTACTACAGATAATAAATAAATGAATATAAAAAATCGTAAAAATCTTTTTACCAATCCGCACTCTGGAGTTGATTTACTACACTACCGAGTTCAGTTAAAATTCTTTGTCTATCTAAAGCCATATCTCCTTTTAGTAGAATTTAGTTTTTAGGGCCTAAATATAAAATATAGAACAATACCAAATTCTAGGCAATAACCATTACTGATTTGTGTCGAAATAAAATGCCAGTAAAATTTTGGTTCCGAAAAAAAATTATAACTGGCCAATATCATTTTTATAACCAACATTTAATAAAAATATTATATAATTATTTAATAAAATTCACAAATCTTTGTGATAATAATATGAAAACACAATATGCCTTAAAAATTGCAAGTTAATTGTATATTAAAAAATTATTATAATTTTCTTTCTTATAACGTATGAAGATTTTTGATTTAATGTTAGTATGTGTATTCGATCGTGACGGACGGGTTCAAACTTCAAATCATATTCCACTAGGCCGAAGTTGATTGCTTGTCATTCTGCGTTGTTAATCTAAAGTCCTCTCATTTCGCGAAAGGCCGCGGTCACGTGATCACTTGTTTGTTTGACCTGGCGATACTACAGTGCAAGTTTTTAAAGCGTATTTGCTAGATAAGCACTTATTTTATCTGTTATAATTAGTTTAATATCAATTCTGATAAAAGAAGTGCTCAATATCTTACATTTATATATAAAAAAAATACGCAGTGGTCATCGCGGTGAGCAGATCGTCATTAAGAAATCGAGGTAATTATAAAATACCAAAATGCCTAGAAAAGTTTTCGTAGTTGGTGTTGGTATGACGAAGTTCGTTAAGCCCAATAGTGGCATGGATTATCCAGATTTAGGGAAGGAAGCTGTCGAGGCAGCTTTGGCCGATGCTCGTATTAAGTACCAAGACGTACAACAGGCTATATGCGGGTACGTCTTCGGTGATTCCACAAGCGGTCAGCGAGTACTATATCAGATTGGCATGACTGGTATTCCTATATATAACGTTAATAACAATTGCTCCACTGGTTCTAACGCACTATTCCTTGGAAAGCAACTCGTAGAAGGTGGTGTTTCTGATGTTATTCTGGCTCTTGGATTCGAGAAAATGACGCCAGGTGCTCTAGGCAATGGTACATTTTCAGACAGAACGAATCCTTTAGATAGACATACTCTAAAGATGGCGGATTTGGCAGAACTAACTGCTGCTCCTATGACCGCTCAATACTTCGGTAACGCGGGTGCAGAGCACATGAAGAAATATGGTACTACTGAAGTGCATATAGCCAAAATAGCAGCTAAGAATCACCGCCACGGTGCCAAGAACCCAAGAGCGCAAGGTGGACGAGAGTACACAGTCGAGGAAGTGTTGAACTCTCGTAGAATATATGGCCCACTAACAAAACTGGAATGTTGCCCGACTAGTGATGGGGCCGCGGCTGCCATCCTTATGTCTGAAGAGGCCGTCATTCGTTATGGACTTCAGAATAAGGCAGTAGAAATAATCGGTATGGAGATGGCCACTGACACTGAGGATGTTTTCAAAGAAAACAGTCTAATGAAGGTTGCCGGTTATGATATGACAGGGTTAGCGGCTAAAAGACTATATGAAAAGACAGGTATATCACCGATGCAAGTTGATGTTGTCGAGTTGCATGATTGTTTCGCAACAAATGAGTTGATCACGTATGAGGGGCTTCAGTTGTGTGGGGAGGGTGAAGCTGGTAAATTCATTGACGCCGGTGACAACACGTATGGTGGCCGAGTTGTAGTTAATCCGAGTGGTGGTTTGATTGCTAAGGGACATCCCCTGGGTGCTACCGGCCTGGCCCAGTGTGCCGAGCTAGTCTGGCAGTTACGAGGAGAGGCGGGAGATAGACAGGTTTGTCTTGCCAGTGTGGCATTGTGGTTTATGGAACATGTTTGCTAATGTGGCCGAGCACTACTGTATTTGTGCTATTGTTATAGTTGTCTACTACACAATATACTTCTTCAAAATTTTTCCCTACAATCTGATTATGCAAAATCATTAGCATTACACTTTTTGCAAATTGTGATATAACTATTTCCTTCATGTTTAATACAACTTGTATTTTTTGTGTGTGTATTGTTTGCTTTATATTGTTTCACATTAAGTTAAGAGTACAAAGTTCAATGATCTCAATATATAACATTTTATTGATAACTCCTCATGAGATAGATAACACATTGTTATAAATATTTATTTGAATTCATATTATTGGTAATTTTATAATATTGATGACTACCAGCTACTGTGCTTATTACCTCACAGTAACATTCAAATGAGGATTATTTTGCATATACAACATGTTGTGACACCTAGTGGTTTGAAACTAATATGTTTTTTAACATTTTGTATGTTTGTATAGGTACCCCGAGCTCGCATTGCCTTACAACACAACTTAGGACTCGGAGGAGCTGTAGTCATCACCATGTACCGTAAAGGATTCACCAATGCATCACCCAACCAGGTGGCCGCCATCGCAGCCAATCCTGAGAACTTCAAAGTATACAAATACATGAAGATCCTCGAGGAAGCTATGAAGTCCGATGAAGATAAACTCATCGAGAAAGTTAGAGGAGTTTATGGTTTCAAGGTCAGGAATGGACCAAACGGCGAAGAAGGTTACTGGGTCATCAACGCCAAGGAAGGAAAGGGAAGTGTGAACTATGACGGCAAAGACAAATGTGACGTGACCTTCACAATCAACGATGAGGATGTCGCTGACCTGATATCCGGTAAACTTAATCCCCAGAAGGCATTTTTCCAAGGAAAAATCAAAATCCAAGGTAACATGGGACTCGCTATGAAGCTGACCGATCTACAGAGATCCGCTGCCGGTAGAATTGAAGCAATCCGCTCCAAACTATAATACACTGGTTTTAAACTATCACCGGTTTCTATTATATTGGGCTAAGGAAATGGTCTTTGGGCATTTATAGATAACTAATTGTTAAATAATATATATATTTTTATATTAATTGAATATATCAGTGCAATGCAATAAAGCCTTATTTATTAAGTGAATGAATACAATTTTTACATATAAATATTTTTTGTATAACTGATGTCATTCCATTAAATTGATATATTGTTGATATTTTCTTTATTAAATAATTTTATATTGAAGTTTATTCTGTTTCACTTCCCTGTCATTGTTGAGAAGTCAATAGTTCAATGTTAGTGAATAACTTTGCATTGTTTAGGTGGATTTTGGAGCCGTTTGAATATAGCTCTCATAATTATATTTAAAACATTTATAATTCAAGACATACATAAATGTTTGCTTTAACCTTGGCTGTAAGTAGAGGCTTTACTAGTGTTTTTAATGATTAAATAAAATTTCGGATAAAACTGTTGTAGGAATTTTATGAAGTGGTAAAAAGTGTTTTTAAGTATGTTCGAGAATCTGAGTAATGTTTTTTATTCCTTTTATGATGTTGATGAAATTAAGTGTCGGATAGTAATATCGAACGAAACAATTTTTACAGAGGAAAAACTACCTATAGGTATATCTATTCTATACAAATAGCTAACTGACATTAAAATATCGAAATCGGTAAATAATTTTTTATAGAAATTTCTGACTAGCAGACTAATAAATAAAAAATAATAAGACAAACTGCAATATTATTAATTTGAAATCGATTCTTGATAAAGGTCATCCGATTTGTCATCCAATACCTCCAACAAACACAGATTAAATCACCAAACAAATAAAATAACTTTTAATGATTGGTTTACCAAAAAATATTTATACTCTGTGCAAACATTACAGTTTTTTTTTTTTATATAGTAAGATATATAAGACAACTATTTTTATTTAGAATACCTTTTTTGCATTGGGAAAGAGTTTATAATTACCTTTCAGCTCAGGAGAAAAGGAAAGCGGTAATACAGGATTCGCCACCTAGACTGGTAAGGGTAGAATCTAACAGAGAATGGCCGGCCGTGTCGTCAGTGGCGTGGCATCCTCAAAGTCTGCACTAGCAGAAACGTAAGTGAACCATTTCGACGCCTAATCCCCTATATTAGTTCTGGACACAGTATCAATCGTATGTCGCCTCGATGAAGGCTTTTCCACTGTCCTATATTCGGCATTTATAGGTTCTTCATAGTAAAAGCAAATTCATAAGTAATTTCACGGGAAACACTTTAACATAAATTGAATGTTATTGTTTCTTTTGTAATTCCACAAAAAGGACTCCTTTTTTTAAGTTTCTCCTATTTCCTAGCACAGCACTAGGCTGGCGTTCTAATATTTTTGCAGTCTAGTGTTTTTCAGTTATAGTAACAACAACTACCTCGATTGTATTTGAGAGAAGTTTATATTTATTCCAAATAAATGTTTCGTTGAATAGGCAGATAGAGGCTTTTTAAATTTTTGTGATAGTAAAGAACCCAAATTGCAATCCCTCCAAAACTCAGAGAGCCAAAAAACTTGTGCTAATACAGATCACTTAATGGTGATGGCCAATTATGTGATGATCTATTCGGTGAGTGTTAAGGATATTATCCACCACCTTAATTACTTTTTGACTAGTCGAAATCTTTATGTTGTACGTTTGAGAAGTATAAGATCATTGTCATAACCAACTTCTCCTGTCTATGGACGTCTTCGAAAGATATATTTCAAGTTCTATGTTTTCGATCGTAAAGCCCTTGAAAAAAAATCTGCATTTCTTACAGATGTTCTGCCAGTCAATAGTAAGCCATGATTTTTCACATACAGAACCTGGAACGTTTTGTCAGAAAGTCGGTTTTCTTTGCTAAATAAAAAATATTAAGTACGTTGGATATTTAAATAGAACAATGGTTACTAAATCTGCCAGCTTTTTTTGCAACAATAGTACGGAATGTTTATAGAATATACCGTGGAATATATCTAACAACATTGTTTGGTTCGGTTACACATCTTTTGGGGTCAGACACGAAATTCATATAATTTTAATATCGCAATAATAACTCGTAGCTCATATAACTTCGTGAGCTGACACAATGGAATATATTAAAGTAATTACCAACTAGTTAATACTTGGCCACAATTAAATGGCAATTGTATAAAAACTATATCTTGGTCTTTTTAAATATCGCTTAGTGACAGATATCTATTATCATTTTGTTTACATAATGTTTACATATTTTTAACATTTCAAATGTCTATCAGAGGCAACTGTTATGACATGCGAGGATGAACAAGTTATACTCAAATGCACAATCAGGCGTGTAGAGTTGTAGACAGCTAAATATTGGAAAGTTGAGTAACTATTCAATGGTCTGTGGATGTATTGAGACATTACGCATGTTTTATTGTGGTCATAAACGAAACTTGTGTTTATTTTACACGCGTGAATGCTTTGATAACTGATATAATTCGCTTTTTGTTACTTCAAGCCTGAAACAGAGACTTGCATTCTATTCAATTCATGTATTTTTTTAATGGCCTATTTAGTATAATTTTGTTTGTAAGTATTGCTTAAATCTGAGTTTATAGTAATAGTTATTTTCCTTTGTGTCAGCGAGGCTAGACTTATATCATAAAAACTGCCTCAATCATTAAAATATGTAGTTACGTGTTTCTATAAAACATTTCATGGTCATTAGGCAAGCTAGAATACAAGTTTGAGGTAAGTTATCATTACCTATCAATTATGTATCAAAAGAATTTTATATTTACAGCTTCAGAAAACTTTTCCAGTGTTCAATTTCACTCTGTTTTTTTAAATATATGTACCTAAAATAAAGAAGGGAAAATGTTTGGTCTAAAATCTATACAGTGTTATTAAGTGAATAGTTTTGATTGAAATATAGTATGTTTTTCCTATAACATATAATATACCTAACATAGCCATAGTTTTACATTGCGTACTTACAATTTTACAGGACTATACTATCGGGAAGGAAAAATATAGAAATAAACATGGTTTATATCCTCCTTGGATTATCCTAAAGACAAATTGTATTTATTTACCTTAAATGAGTAAATGTATGAGACTCTTAAAACAGTGCAATGCTAAATTTAGTTATTTAAAAGATCGCATCTTATTGAAGGTACGAATCATAATAAACATGTTCCACTGGTAAGTGGCAGGTTTTTTTGGCCGCTAGCTAATGAATGACGTACTTGTGAATGTTTTACAATTTACATATATATAAATTATCTTGAGATATCGATAAAGACGAATGTTTTGAGAGCGTATTATCAAATTTTTCTGTAAAATGACTATCAATTTTATGTTATGTACATATAAAACAAGGTCCCCCGCTGCGTCTGTCTGTGTGTTCGCGATAAACTCAAAAACTACTGCACTGATTTTCAAGCGGTTTTCATCACATTATAGCGTATAAAGTCTGCGGTGGCATCTATCTATCCGTTAAGAATATCATTCTTTATCCATTTTCATACTTTTAAAAATTGTCACCCATGAAGTGTTTATTGGAAAGCAATTCATATAATTACGTTATTACGTCTTATTGAAATAAATTACTTCATATCCAAGTCTACATCAGTATCTGTAAATTACTTTTTGAATCATTTTAATCGGACTTACTATTTGAGAGTTATCACAATATAAGTTTAATAATTGTCAAATTTTAATTCGCGCTATAACTTACTCGCTTCGCATGACGCAGTCGCTGTCCCCCGCACCGTTTTACCTACTTTTTCGTTAGCTAATAAACCTAACAACTATGTTTTTTTCTGTTATTTAATTAAATATTTAACTACTATGTCTCCTGATCATAATTTTTATATCTTTTCTTATTAATTTATATATTCTAGGTCAGATATTAAAAGTTGAGGGAGTTGACTTAAGTATACGAAGCTTCTCAAATGGGCAATTATATGTTGCCCTATCACGTGTTACTTCTAAACAAAATTTGTTAGTTTTTACATATGATGACGTCATTATTGTTGTTTATATTATAGTAACGAACTATAATTAGCATAAAAACTTCAATATTTCTTCGTTTAAACATATTTGTTTAACGAAAAAAGATGATGAAATTTTAGTTACTCTTGATTTAACTCATAAAGTTTGTACTTAACCAATTTTACGTAACATACGCTGTTTTATATTTTTTGTTAAGAAACCTTGCGAACTCGGGGCGGGTATATAGTTATAAAATAGTAGATACTTATTTAGAATATAATTATATTGACAAAGACCGGACAACTTCCTACAAATTTCCCGCCTCGAATACATTTTTTTAAATTTATGTGGGGCAAAGATCAAACTTGTCTGCTAAGATGTAAGTATAATCTCTAAGTCAACTCATTCATGGATAATTTCACATGCGTTACCTCTCAAAGTGTTAGCTTGTTAATTTATTACGTAAAATTATATTGTACCAAAATGAAAACGTCATTGAAGATAAAAATAGTTATCAGATATACAAAAGGTCAATCCAATACGAATAAAAATATTTTTTCATTATGGTAACATATGATTGTTCTTATAAATTGATAAACAACTGATTGTTCTTATAAATGTAATATATACATTTATTATGGCCTATATTCAGTTCTCTCAACTCAGTGTCACTTGATAATTATTATAATAAAGCGACCACAATTATAAGGATAGTATTTATTTTTAAAACTTGATATGAATGTATCAAAAATGGAAAGTTATGCGAGTTATATACAACCTTCATAGCGACTTTCACTTGATTTCACCGAAATATCAGTTAAATATTTTTAATTCAACACAATATTTTATAACATTTATTATTGTAAAACCTATATTTTTTATTTCATTGTACTTTGTTAGTTGTAGTAAATTAAACCGGTATAATTATATATGTGTGAGTGTTTATAAATTTTGATTATTCGGTTTTTCTTTCCTTCTTATTACAACACTATTGTTCATC